ACAGCTGATGTCAACTGGATGTGACAAAGTGAACATTGCAAATCCAATTGTCCTTTGTGTCAGAGCGCTGGAGTTCATCAGAAATAGAACGGGGCATCAGTTTACTGTCATGGATTTGTCGTGTCGCGTGACTCGCGTAGCGCCACAACAACTGATGCTTCTATTTGCTTTTATCCCGTCGCGCACACATTGTTTTTGTATTTGTGAATCTTAAGTATATTCATCATCTGCTTTACGTACCTGACACTGGCAGTATTTTCACAAACTTGTAACTTACTAAAAAAATATTTTCTCTTATTCTTACCAAGGCTGCATTTATATATTAAAAATACTGTAAACACTGTAATATCGTGAAATGTGTCCATTTTAAATATCTAGGCCTATTTGAATGTTTTAACATATACTGTATTCATTGTGATTGGCATAGTAGCCTAATACTTAACCAGCCTACTTGCCGTCTTAACTTGTTCGGCTTCATACTGGTGAATCTAAATGCGAGATATGCCTAGTCATTTTCTTGTCTTTTCACCACACTGGACGCGACGGCCGCAAACAACAGCTGATGTCAACTGGACATGACAAAGTGAACATTGCAAATCCAATTGTCCTTTGTGTCAGAGCGCTGGAGTTCATCAGAAATAGAACGGGGCATCAGTTTACTGTCATGGATTTGTCGTGTCGTGTGTCGCGCCGCATCCACAGCAGAGAACATCACTGGGTTCTATTTGCTTTTGTCAACCATCTAGTGGTCTGTTATTGATACAACCACAACTGATAACGGAGCGCTCAAGCGGGTACTGTAATTAAAATATGTCAAATTAATATTTTTGGTTCAATTATTTACTTATCAGGCAAGTGGCCTCATGATAAGTGGGAAAATTATGCAGTGTAGTCTTTATCACCCTGCAGAGGTTTCTTTTGCAAAATAATCTGCTAACTGTACACTATCCCTCAGCCTTGCTGCGCCCCCCTTGTCATAGCTCCGCACCCCCCCCAGTTTGGGAACCACTGCAATAGAGGAGTGTTTAAATAAGCTCTTGTGCGTCATGAAGATCTGCCAGCGATTTTAATGTGTTACAGGCCAAGGCCTCCTGATCGTAGAGTCAAAGAAGCTGAAATGCTAGAGATGGATCACTGCGGCTTTCTCGTCACCCTAAATCGACTTGGCCCAGCTCAGTGAAGGAAATGAGGAGAACAAGAACATATGTCATTCACTGCCTGGTTATGTGAATTACGTTGAGATTTCAAATGCAAACTTTAAGGCCAAATAAATCAACACAACACAAAGATTCGTTTTTTTTTTTTAATTGAGAGTAAATTGATTTTTCACTGCAGTGAAAGGCAGTTGTGTTTGTACTTCAGATACCGCCCCCAGTTTTAGCCTACACAGTTGTGCAATTCTTCAATGCTTTTGAGGAGCAGAACCATGCATCGTTCATTTATATTTCTACATGGCTCCCTGATTCTTCAATCGCACCATCTAGTGGTCTGTTATTGATACAACCACAACTGATAACGGAGCGCTCAAGCGGGTACTGTAATTAAAATGTGTCAAATTAATATTTTGGGTACAATTATTTACTTATCAGGCAAGTGGCCTCATGATAAGTGGGAAAATTATGCAGTTTAGTCTTTATCACCCTGCAGAGGTTTCTTTTGCAAAATAATCTGCTAACTGTACACTATCCCTCAGCCTTGCTGCGCCCCCCTTGTCATAGCTCCGCACCCCCCCCAGTTTGGGAACCACTGCAATAGAGGAGTGTTTAAATAAGCTCTTGTGCGTCATGAAGATCTGCCAGCGATTTTAATGTGTTACAGGCCAAGGCCTCCTGATCGTAGAGTCAAAGAAGCTGAAATGCTAGAGATGGATCACTGCGGCTTTCTCGTCACCCTAAATCGACTTGGCCCAGCTCAGTGAAGGAAATGAGGAGAACAAGAACATATGTCATTCACTGCCTGGTTATGTGAATTACGTTGAGATTTCAAATGCAAACTTTAAGGCCAAATAAATCAACACAACACAAAGATTCGTTTTTTTTTTTTTATTGAGAGTAAATTGATTTTTCACTGCAGTGAAAGGCAGTTGTGTTTGTACTTCAGATACCGCCCCCAGTTTTAGCCTACACAGTTGTGCAATTCTTCACAGCTTTTGAGTTTTGAGAGTCAGTATTTACAGTTCTTGCATCATTATTTCATCTTTTTTAAGAGATTTTCAGAAGTGTTATGTCCAGTATACATTTGCTGATACTGCAAACTGAAGTTTCAGTCAGCGACGAATGATATTTACTATACTGTACAATATTGTCTGTATTGTTAAGTAAAAGATGATGCTATCTAAAACATAGAAGCAGACCAGACCACCAAAATGAAAGTCATGGGGTTCACCTCTTATAGCGAAGAATGAAAGGCCAAAATAGTCTTTTAGAGGTCAGATGAACAAAGTACTGCAGTGTATCAGCATCTGTGTCAGGCACATGTTGACCACTCATCCCTCTTCTTCAAGGTCACCTGAAGATTCACTTCTGCAGTGAGGCACTTTGTGGTTCTGGGCTTTCAGCAGTACATCACTGCCAGGTCTTCAGATCAGCAAACTAAGAAATAATTGAGTAAATGGGATGAAATGGATTTGAGACGGGAGCACTTACTGATATATTCTATAAATACTTGAAGGATGAGTTGAAGAGCATCTTGAGTGTTTTTCAAACAATCTAATAATGTTTTCATTATGCCTTTCTCAGGTTATCTTGAAGTGATCTTGTATTTAGCCACCGTTACTATTATAAACTATAATATATATGTTAAAATATTTTGTGTATGACTGCAAGAGGGCTGATTCTGCCTCAATAACAAGACATGTATATACTGAGCAACGTTTGACGTAGCAAATTAGAGGCATTCACGCTGAAGTTGTGGAGTATATCAAGCTTGTTATTGCTAAAAACGCTTAATTGTCACATAATAAGTTTATTACTGTCTGTTTACACAAAGTCACCAACAAATAGATTTATTTAGGCTCTGATACAAGCCAATGATGCAAGATGCCTCTCTGGAGAACTAATTTGCATTGAGATATTCAGAAAATATGCAAATTTATAAGCATACCCCTGGCTAGGCAGGGGTGCTGGGTGATGCTAATGCTAATAACCGGAGCAAAATAACTTTAGTAATGTCCTAGCAACCAGTCAAACACCCTAACAACCACCTGTCCTGTCAAACAATCTGAAAACATTAGCTATGCGGTAGCTAGTTTACTTTAATGTTAGCATTACTAGCATTGTTTTCTTCTTAATGACTTAAATTGAACCACTTAGCAAACACCCAGAACATCCAAAAACATGTAAAATATAGTTTAGTAATAAAAATGAGCTTATAAAATTAAACTTTTGGTGTGCATTTTCAGCCGCAAAATCAGTATCTTTCATGTATTTAGTTGCTAACGCACTTACTTAATGCTAGTCTGTGGTTTAGGCTACTCAGGGCATTGATGGGGTTTTATTTACGTCTGGGAAATCTGAGAGAAGAAATGTTTATGTTATATTAAGATACATTATGGCATGCCATTACTTCCATAGTTAGGTTATGAGGGCAACACCTGTTTCTATAGCTCTACAGTATGACAGCTGCACGTAGCGCTAACGCTAGCAGCTTACCATATGAGCCTCCCAGTTTTAACAGCTCTGTGTAGATAAACCTGGAAAGAAGTGTGGAAAACTTCTTATGTCATTTTTTCCAATCTAGTGTCCATCGCATTGCGCCGTGAGATATTTTAGTATAGCAATGTAGCGATTTATGGATAAAAAAAAAGATACAGCATGGCTAAATGCCCATGACAACAGGTGGACACAACAGCTTGACAGATTTTCTGTGCTTTTATCATCCACAATATTATACATTCTAAGTATTTCAGTCTTGAGGAATCTACGTTAATCTCTGCCCTGTTGTTTTCTTGTGTTCAACAGACACTTAGGCTTAGATCTGGTACCCAGGAAAGAGTTTGAAATGGTCGATGCGGACCAGATCAGCGTTTCTGATCTCTATAAAATGGTAAGTACACTGATTGCTTTCCGATCAGTTTGCGATGTGTGCATTTTCATCCCTGAAGCAGTAAATTGCTACAGCCTCCTCTGTTGGATGTTAGGAGAACATACAATAGATGTTTTTGCAACGCTTATGATTTAAAATTCATGCAAATTGCTTCCTTTATTCAAAGACTTTTATTTATGAGATGCTTGGGCAGAAAAATGACACTTTACAAATGATGCACTTATGTGCGCTTAATGCAAAGGTTATGTTTGCTGAATTATTTGCTTATAGCGTTATGATTTTACAGTTCTGGTTTAAATGATTATATATGCATGTTTGTAAGTATGCACATAAAAAAAGAAAATAAAAATAAAGTATGAAATCATAAATCACAAAAAAGACTAAAATATCTCATATAATATTTTTAATATTATGAAATGATATTTTAGTTAGTTTAGTGTTTTAGTGAATTTTTTGTGTTTTTTGTGCAGTACTTATAAATATATATATATATATATATATAATTTTATACGATTTTATGCAATTTTATGCAATTGTATATTACTAAAATATTTGGTTACACTTTATTTTGATAGTCCACTTTAGACATTCTACTTACTATAAGTAACTTTGTAACTACATGTCAACTACATGTCAACTAATTCTC